CTCATGAGAAAAACAGAAAATGTCACCCCACTCTTCTTCCATTGCATTCTCCGCGATTACTATATTCTTACTGTGTTATAAATTGAACTTAAAATACATATGAAAATAATTTTTTAATTTTCAAAATGATTGGATAATAAATCTCAATGCTACACATTGATAGTTTTGTTTCTAATTGTATTACTTATATTTTTAAAGCTTTGCAAATGAAAATATAATTACGGATAGATGGCCCTTAGGGATATCACGGGTTGTTGTATAAATAATACGATATCGTTGTCAAACTGCTGATTTTCGAACTTGACCTGGTAAACGTAAATCTTAGCAAAGGCTGAGTAGTTTACAGGTTAATTTATGGAGCCCCCAGACCATCGGGGCTAATATGTAAAAATACCCATATCCAAGCTTTGCTCTGTTCAGATTAACGGTGCGTTAGAGTAGTATGTTAGTGATTACTTGACCAAAACACTTACCTAATCTTGGGACACTTCCTACTGTATTTTCTTGGTTTTCAGTTTCGTTTACAGTTTATTATAACCTGGATGACGTAATTCATGTTTTCCATACTAAAAATTGAGCGAATTCGCAGTATTCGATTTATGTTTTTACATAAAATATCGCACTGATGCTTTTCCTGATGATGTGCGTGGTTTACGTGTGTGTGTGTGTGTGTCGGTGTGTATGGTTTACGTATGTGTGTTTTCCTGATGTTGTGCGTGGTTTACGTGTATGTGTGTTTGTGTGTGTTTTTGTGTGAGCGCACGTATTGTGTAAAATAAGTGAAGTTCCAAGCTACGACAATGTTTTCTAAAATTAAATAAAAGTTTTAAAGAGCAAACCGTAAAATTCGCTAACTACAATGTATAACGACATTAGACCAGATTGGTGATTGGCCTGGAATGGATACCCTGAGTGTCAAAGCAAGGAAAAAGCTAGCTTGTTAAATATTATACCTTGTGATGGAGTCGCTTTTACTGGCTCTGACGAACAGCGACAATCCTACAGTTGGTATAATACGTAATAAAATAAAGCTTTAAGATACGTCTTGCGTTTTCAGTAAACATTATAATTCATTCATTTACCTAAAGGGAATAATTGAAATGACAAAAAAAACGATAGACTCATGAGAAAAACAGAAAATGTCACCCCACTTTTCTTCCATAACATTCTCCGCGATTACTACACTCTAACTGTCTTATAAATTGAACTTAAAATACATATGACAATAATTTTTAATTTTCAAAATGATAAGATAATAGATCTTAATGCTACACATTGATAGTTTTGTTTCTAATTGTATTACTTATATTTTTAAAGCTTTGCAAATGAAAATATAATTACGAATAGATGGCCCTTAGGGATATCACGGCTTGTTATATAAATAATACGATATCGTAATCAAGGTGCTGATTTTCGAACTTAACCTGGTAAGCGTAAATCTTAGCAAAGGCTGAGTAGTTTACAGGTTAATTTGTGGAGACCCCCTGACCGTCGGGGTTAATATGTAAAGTATGATGTTATCTATAACAAATACCCTTATCCTACCTTTGTTCTGTTCAGAATAACGGTACGTTAGAGTAGTATGTTAGTGATTACTTGACCAAAACACTTACCTAATCTTGGGACACTTCCTACTGTATGCATTTTCTTGGTTTTCAGTTTCGTTTACAGTTTATTATAACCTGGCTGACGTAATCCATGTTTTTCATACTTAAAATTGAACGAATTCGCAGTATTCGATTTATGTATTTACATAAAATATCGCACTGATGCTTTTCCTGATGATGACTTTCCTGATGATGTGCGTGGTTTACGTGTGAATGTGTGTGTCGGTGTGTGTGGTTTACGTATGTGTTTTCCTGATGTTGTACGTGGTTTACGTGTACGTGTGTTTGTGTGTGCGTGTGTGTGCGCGCACGTATTGTGTAAAATAAGTGAAGTTCCAAGCTACAACAATGTTTTCTAAAATTGAATAAAAGTTTTAAAGAGCAAACCGTAAAATTCGCTAACTACAATGTATAACGACATTAGACCAGATTGGTGTTTGGCCAGGAATGGCTGAAGTTATAATGAAATATTTTACCACATCATGTCTTCTCTTTACAGTATCGAGTAGTTAACATCTTATGTTGGATCTAAAGGTTTCACGAAAAAAAAATGACTCATTCATTTTGTACGTTTTTATTCTCTGATAATAGGAAAATATAAGGAAATCATACTATTAATTACAGTGTTCTACCCGATATATCTATCTGGAAGAATACTAGCTCCTATTAGTGATTATAACCATCTATATGAATACTTTCAATTTTTACCACACTACTAACAACACTTTTCAACACCACTTACGGCACCAAAACGCACCGACAACTTATGGCCATGAAAGTATTCTACCGCCATTTTAAAAACTGTTTCAGGAAAGTTAACGTTAAAGTCATACAGGCAATACGACATGATGTAGACACGTAATTTACAAGTTCTTTGCTGTATACAGTATACAGTATACAAGGTTTACTTCCTATAAACTTTCTTATGGCCTTAACCATTTGATTTGCCTCTCATACTATTTAAATGGACGTCTGGACTGGATATGATACATCACAGCTGTAACGAATGAAGAAAGTTGCGTCACTTCTGAGAAAATCTGATGGAAGTTATTCATTTGGGTTTTCTAGCTCATAATAGTCGTGTATTATTTCAGAGCCACTGGGACTTTGAGACGTTTCCTCGGGATTTTCCAGTACGAAATAGTCGTGCTCTTCCACAGGTTTCGACATAGTTTGCCCTTGGGAATTATCGTTGCCGCTAGGCCGATTAGAACTATTACGAGAACCGTCAATGACTTCCAAATATTCTGGTATTTTTCCTTTGAAGCTTGAAACACCGTTGTACGGGTTGGATGCATTTCTTCTAAAAGAGTTCCAAGGTCTAGATGAAGTGTCCTTCACAGATGATCCGCTAGTACAGGGCCTAGCTGGATTACTCCTCAAAGAGGAGCTACCGTTGTAGAGCCTGGGTCCGTTATTCCTCAAAGAGGACTCACCATTACGGGGCTTGGAAGCAGTGCTCTTTATCGACGATACGGTGTTATATAGCCTCGGTGAATCGCTCTTGAATGAAGAAACTCCCCTATAAGGCATGTCCCCACGCGCTTGCGAATATTCCGAATTACCAGACTGAGAGTTGATTTCACTGTAGTCTCCATTTTCAGACGTCGCTGGGCCTCCTACATAAATAAAGGATTGTAGACTGTCTCGCGCGTTCCCTTCACGTCTGGCGGGAGTTGACTTTTCCTCCAGGACAGAATAAACAGGTTCCCCGGTGCTGGGATCGTATAGGGAGTTATCACTGAGTAAAACTTGGTAGCTGTTAGCGCTTCCAACTGACCCCCGTGATGGCACCTCGTACAAGTACGTCTGGGATTTGTCGTTACTGAGGATGGCCCGTCTTGGGGGAACCGTTATTATGGAGTTATCGATGTAGTTTGGATAGCCCTGTTTGAAGAAAAAGAGAAATTAGGTTTCACAGATTTCAGTGCTTTAGGCGTGTAAATAAAAATTATTACATATTAGAGAGTTTTCTTAATATATTTTCTGTACCTATAGATTTGCATTAAAGAAATTGAAATACCGAAAAACGATACATGAATTTGATGATTAGTGCAATGAATATCGTATAACGGCACAAAATATTTTCCATTTTTGTCTATCATATTTTAGATGTCATTCACATACATCTCTTGATGGAAGGAAATAATAATGAAAGGAAATAAACAAACATACCAAAGCGCCATCTTCAGGCCGCCTATTTCGCATGATTTCCCTAATATCAGGAGTGTCTTTGGACTTATTACACCTGAAAATTAATACAGATACATTTCAATTTAATTTTATTTTAAAACTTTTCTCTTAAAAAGGTTAGGAAGTACCATTATTGAATAATTAAAATAATTTGCATGAACTAACACTGTGAATAATTAATGGACAACTGGTGAACATTATGAACATCGCCATTTTAAATCCTTGTGTGTATGTTTGTGTGTGTTTGCATGCCGAGGTTTTAGAGTTAAGTAAAGGTATGTACTGTAGTGCATTCACCTTCCAAGAGACTCCGAATTTTTCACACAAATGACGGCAATGAATAACAACACAAGCAAAGAGACACCTCCTAAAGCACCACCAATTATAAATCCTGTGTCGTCAGTTACTGCTACGGCGCCATCTGGAAGATTTCAAGTTTTAGGAAGAGTAAGTAGTTGTGTACAGTTAAAATTATTTCTTTTCAATAAGAAATATTCATCTGAAGCGGATAGTCGATGAAAAACATAAAATAAAACTGCTTTGCAGAACGAGGTCAAGGAAATAAGAGTTGCGAACGATAACATTTCAAATATCCTTTGACACTGATAGAACATATAAAATATAAGAAATAGAAAATATGTTTATTATTATTATTATTATTATTATTATTATTATTGAATAACTCACCACTTATCTCGTCTCCTTTTAATACAGTTATCGGGATATCACTCAGGCCGGTGTCTTTCCTGGTAGTAAGAACCAAATCCTGAGAAGTGCTGCTTGTAGTGTCCGAGGTTGCATTAGTTGTGACATACTCAGTTGTGCCGGTCGCAATCGGTGTAATTGCGGTAGATGTGCTCCCTGTAGCAATGCTTTCGCCAGTTGTTGGCCTGTTATAACTGTTTTCATCAAACGGCAAAACACTGGGTCTTCTCGCAGTTGGAGAGGTAGATGTAATAGTTGAAGATGGCATTGAATTGTTTGGGTTTTGTGTGTTTCCGCCATTTTCTGTTGTTGTAGAAGACTGTGCCGTTGTGCTTGATTTCGTCGGTTGAGAAGTGATGGGATACCGTCTAGTTGTAGTCGTGGGTCTGGTTGTAGATGTGGGGACAGCTGACGTTGATCTGGTGGGAATTATAAGTGTGGGGTAAATAATGCTGGGTATTGTGATAGCAGGATGGGTAGTTTTCGGGTGTGTTGGTGTTGGGCGGGTAGTTATAGGTCGGAAAACCGTCGGTCGGACCGCCGTGTGTCGGGTAGTCGTGGAAGGTCGAACCGTTGTCGTTGGTCGGGTGCTTGTTGATCGGGTAGTTGTTGTTGTTGTTGTTGTTGACGCAGTAGTTGATGGTGCGGTAGTAGTCGTTGGTAGCCGAATTACAGGGTCTAAACCACAAAAATTCATGCACATATAATCATCCAAGAAACTTGACTGGTATGTCACCGTCCTGCACATCCCCTGCTGTCCCACAATGCACATCTTCATCACCCACTTCATGCCTTCTACAGTGTTCTTGCAAACAAAGTAGATGTCCTCACACGGCCCCAGCTCCCACCGGTTTAAGTTATCACATTCAAGGCTCGAGTATCCGCATGGCCAGTCAACTGAAGTAAAAAAAAAAACGATATCAGTTATATATCTGATAATGGATAAAAATTAGTATTTATGAAGAAAGAGGGACATCTAAGGCTACATGCACATTTTGTTTTTTGTGCTTCAGAAGGGACTAGATGTCTAGCGCGAAAACGTATCCACAAGCATCCATTTGGACACATGCGTGCACGTGGATTTTGATCATATATTTCAAACACAGTGTACATTTCAATTCCAACTTATTCTTTTTTTTTTTTTTTTTTTTTGTTATATTTGAATGATATTTTTCCTCCCTTTTAATAATTTTAGTTTTGTTTGGCTAGATGACGAAGTATGTTGTCCATGTATATGTGTGTGCGTGCGTACGGGCGGCCATGCGTTCGTAGCTGTGTGTGTGTGTGGGGGGGGGGTACGCTAATAAGCTGCCTACCATTTCAAAAACGCGCCATGCCATCCTCATATACAGCCACAGTGAATGGCACGGCTGCGGGGAAACCGTTGGACCATGCTACCTGTCTCGGTGATATGCATGACGTGATGTTTACAAACACAATATTTTTGGACAAACTTACAGTCAGGCCGCGGTTTGAAAGCCTTCTTTCAAGGTGAATTTTGATCCGGGTTAAATGTACAAAGAAATGAAAAACAAAGTTTTATGCCGTAATATTTACCGCATGTGCACTGGCGCGTCACCGCGGTAAACCGTTAAATGAGGTGACAAGTGACAGGATTCGTATTGTATTGAGTCATCTGGTTTGCTGTGATATGATTCGTATGTAGAAAACTTATGGCTGGGATGAGTAACATCCCAAGTAAAAGATGGAAAGTACTGAAGATTTTGAAAGTCATAAGTCATTAATAGAAACACTAGAAGGGTATAAAATATATCATTTCATCGTTCTCTCTCTCTCTCTCTCTCTCTCTCTCACACACACACACACATACACACAGGCACAGCTTACATTTGAAATTACATTCAAATTTGATAAATCAAAATTCTAAGAGAATTTTAATTTAGCCCCAGCCAGGCAATTACTTCTTAATTGACAGTACCATGTCGATAGACAGCAGTGTATATCGTGTTACTGATCAAGTTAAAGATTCTCACGGAAATTTACGTAATTTGATTAATCACAGTCAGCATCTTATCAGGTGTTTGCATAGATGCATCACAAGATGATAGCCGTTTGATATTTAAGAAAAAAATTAAGATGCACGCACGCGTACGTAAATAGATGAATCATCGCGTGTTACATTAATTTGTGCGATATCTAAATGTCACAGGTGTTTTACATCGAGTTGCTTTTACACAAAACACGAATTTCTTTCGTTTCGAATGAATCAGCCGGGTAATATATCCATTAAGAATAACGTATACGTGTTGTTCAAAACACTTTGCAGACTTTGATTTCGACCCTAAAATCAGGTGAGATCTAGGCAAAACTCTAGATACCGAAAACAATAAATTACATTAGAAAGCTGCTCAAGGATTTGGGACCCAATTAGAACAAGGTTTTAAGGAAAGTATCAAGCAAGTAACAGGCTGTGCAACGAAATACTCGAAATTTTTGAAGCGGTGTCATTTGGTTCGCACGCGGCACTCGCGGGTTCCTTGTGTGTGTGAACCTTCTTGTGATATCAAGATTATTTTTGCACCTGCAAATGACTACTATACAAGCAGTCACTGCGGTATATATTGCAGATTCTAAAATAGATTACCTTAAACTACGCATTCATCCTTAAACCTTATTACAGTCATTCATGCTGCTGTGGTTTTTATAGGAAATTAAGCTCAACTTATCTATGATAATTTGGGCACTTGTCGTTGGCCATGTGGAATAAATAACGCACAGGATGCGCAGTCCGTTTCGTCGCTATGCTATACAAAGTGCAATGGGAATTATCATCCAATATTACGTATCATTTCAAGTGACGTGACGTTGTTAATGATTATAGGTCGGCTTCAATGGATAAACATATCCCCTTTACAAGGAACTTATAAGTTAGATGTTTAATCTCGGTGTTAAAGGCTACATTAGGAAACCTTAAATCACGATGGAAAATGAAAGAGAACAGATTAGACCTAAAAGCTTCGTTTAACGCTACTCTGGTCTTCATGGTCGACAGTCTGCAAAAATGGGGGATAAAAGATACACGTGTATAATACTCGTTTCACCAAGCAAAAATCTCTACTTTTTTATATTTACCCACGTGCCTTAATTATATCTACCATAGAAATTGACTTTCCGGACGACGTGTCAACTGTCAATGGCAATTCAATAAACTGTCGCTTCTTTTGCAGTAATTACACCTGTCTCATTTGCAGAAATTGAGACCAAGTGGCTCGACCATATAGATTCCATTATCTGGGGATTTTACCATCAATACAAGCACAGTTCGTAGCACCTTCCTCAGCAGAGGGATTCCATTATCTCCATGGAAGTTCAAAGCTGCATCTTCTTTTTGGAGATATTATAAATTTTCAGCTGATTGAATTAGTGTATGTCGTGCTCTTGTGTTTTCTGCGTCGTTGCTTTAATCATTAAAAAACAACCATAAGATTAGGGTTATCAGTAAAGCCCGTTTTTTTCTGTGCCTAGTATTTAGATGAAGAGCACGTTTAAGTGCTGTCTTCCATTATCAGATTTTATGGATCGCGGTGTGACATTTCTTTTATGTTGTCCTCAGCTGCTTACTGCTCCAGTGTTATCACGTCAGGGCTTGAGGGATCTAATTCTTCTGTCAGGAGATTTGAGGAAAACGGGGAAATATATACCGCTTCATGTACAACAAAGGACATCTATCTCTTGGGGTGGGAGGGCGGGGGGGGGGGGGGCTCAGGCTGAGCGGTAATGTGGGCTGATTTTACTGAGTATATATTATGATAACAGTTCTATGTCTGATTCAGAACTTCAGAACCGTGCTGGACTCACTCCCTTCTCTTCTTTCTGATGCTGTCCTCGCCTTTGCAAAAGGTTAAAGAAAAAGTCGCTCTCTTTCTCAAGTCTAATATTAATTAATAAATTCTTAATGAAGCAATAATTATGCCCGCGGGGAGATATTAAAGTGTACCAGTAGCAGAACGCAGCCTGTCATAATCGCCCTTAATGGCGGCTTAATTACGCACGGTTTCTTTTTCTATTAAAGCTGTTGTGTAACCCCTGCTTTAGTAATGTTCGTCGCCACTGAAATTGAATATCAAATATCACAATCAATTCAATTATGAGAATTTTCTTGATGACACGTCACAAATTGAAAGCACATTGGCGTAAAAAACAGAAAAGACTTTTAACGTTTCGGATTCCTTTTATTATCTAGGCGTCAAAACTGATGGTGTGTTTAAAGTTTCCCTGTTCGGTGTCATGTTTCCACATAATAGGATGATGGCCATAGCAGATTGGAGAGTGCAGTGCCAATTTTATGATCAAATTTTACTAACAAGTCAAACGTCTTTTTTAAAGGCAATTTTAAATGGCGATCGATTCTAGAGAAAATTAAAATTATAAAATTAAAGAATAAGGCTTCGTTCACATGCAATGTCTATTTTCTAAATTCTATTTTCTATTTGCGGTATGTCTTATGATCACGGTCTGTGGCCTGAATATCCCGCGGCGTAATGTACTGGCAGCGCGAGCCAGTTACTATAAGTTACTATAAGTAACTGGCTCGCGCTGCCAGTAATTACGCGGCGGGATATTCAGGGCACAGACCGTGATCATAAGATAGCGCAAATAGAAAATAGAAATTAGAAAATAGACATTGCATGTGAACGAAGCCTAATATAGGTAATTTGTATCTTACAGCTTTTATTCCCTTTTTACTAGTTTTATATTGATTTTAGCGGTTTTAGGTTTTACATGCCATATCCTTTGTGTTGCTTAGTTTGAAAAAATAAATTATCATTATTAGTATTGATCCCTTTGTTATCCTTATTACAGAAGAAATGACAATGTGTTTCAGCTTACAAAACTGATATAAACTACTACATTGCGTCCTTGGTTTGTGAAGTCCTTCCAAATCTGTGTTTCCAGTTTTCTTTTAGTCTGTATATACTCCGCACAGGTCGCTTCATAAACCCCATTAGAAATTCGTTTACCCTAACCACAAGGAATAAAAATGAAGCGAAATTCATCAAAAACTAATAAATGTTGCGATATTGCGTGTTAGAAGTCATTGGAACCCAATTCATATGCATATGCAGTCAACCGCAAGTTACGGGGAAGTCTCATCTTTTCCCAATAGTATAATTAGCACAGTGCACAACACTTCAAAACAGAAAAAACAATGATTGCAAGACTTGCATTTCTCTACAGATAAAAAAAGCGTCACGAAACCACTATTGAATGTAGCTGGATATATCATATAGCATATGAATCAGCATGTTTCATTATTTTTTGGTTCCGCTTTCATTATCTGTTTGTAAGACGATGTATCGTATGCCGTTAAAAATCATTGTTGTTGGTCATTGCAACAGAATGCCCAAATGCATTGCCTCTTGCGCGTTCAATAATGGCTACAGGTTTAATCGTTAAGACTTTTGTCTTGGGAGACGATATTTTAAGCACAACATCATTTCTGAATAGAATACATTTCCCAAGACAGAAGAGGGAAAGTAGTAACTAACGCCTAGGATTTTCTCTAGAAAAAGCCGAAAGATTTTCTGCAATCGTTTCACAGACAATTTATGCACGAATTTACATTAAGCGGATCAATTACCAAATGAGTTTCGTTGGCAAAAATATATTTGATCTTTGCGTTTTTAGATAACAATTCCAGCGTTCATATTTCCATTACTACAAAGGTATTCGTCTGGAAACATGTAAATGCAAGTTTGATTTATTACAAAAATACGTCTGCGTCGCCCAGTATTGCTTGCTGCTCTGAAAAAAACTCTGCCTTTCAGAAAAAATTATCAGCTGTCTAACCTGACTTATGACTTGTGGCAGTACCTGGTTTGTGTGAAATGATAAACATGTCGCTTGTTGAGGCAGAAAGCGACTGTGGACTTGCAGCAGCCTTTTATATTTTAAGAAGAAGATTTCAAATCGCATTCAAACCCTTGTGTTCATTAGCAAAAGCTTGTAAATGCTTAAAATGCATTAAAATAATGGCTAATTATCCCAGACTCCAATTCCTAATTATTCAAGGAAAAATGTCGTCTGCTGCAGTACACACAAAATGGAAAATGGAGGATAGCATAAAACTCATCTGCTGCTTCCAGAACAGTCTGTTGATCTGCAGGCAGCGCCCGAGTTATTCCCTAAGCGTAATTAAAGTGATGAACGTCTCGATAGGTCGCGATTAAATACACACAATACTCCAGGCGATAGCGCGTGATTCGTTAATGTGAGGTGAGTCATAGTCGTCTGCGCTGAAGAACATACTGTCTTCTCTAGATAGTCTTTTATTTGATTTGATGAGGAGGTAGTTTAAAAGGGGGGAGGAGTTTTTTTAAGTATAGGCATTTCAATAATATGGTTAGTACTTTCACCGGCGAATGCCATGGTCTGCCATATATATTTGTGCATGAATGTAGAGCCCCCTTTGTATATTTTATTTATCTATGCATCATCTTTATTTATTTATTTACTTATTTATTTATTTATTTATTTATTTATTTATTTATTTATTTATTTTATTTCATACTTGTGTGGTGGTAGGGGGGGTTGTGGTGGTAAAGACACCTTTTGGCGACATCGTTTCAGGCCTATCTTGTAAAAATAGTACCAGAAAATGGACCGCCGAAGGCATGCGTCTCTCTTATCACACCTTCACCCGTATCTGGGGCCCTAGCTCACACCTTTCCAACCACCGGAAATGACCAGTGGTCATCCCCGCTCTCTACCACGTGCACCACTCCCATCAGACTGGCCACAGGACTGACCGTTATCGCCATGTCCAGCTATTATTATATTAGTGGCCAACAAACAAGCAGAGATGAATAATCTTTGAGTAACAGATGTTAACACTGATAGTTCCAGCAAAACGACGATCCAGTCACTATTTTTTTATCCCTCTGATGGAAGGATACGGTATTCACTCTCCATGTCGTCGAGCACTCTCCAGGCATAGACTCAGGTATCATTAGTCACCGCAAGTCGGGTTAATTGCTGCTTTTTTCTCTTTTCACTTTTTTTATTAGCAGACAGTTCTGCAGGTTATCAATCTGTGTAGGTAAAGCTTGAGTGTAAGAAATGATACGTGCAGGCTTCTTCACTTTCTAATATCCATAGAGATAAGGCAGGCGTTCTGATACAGCTGTAAAAATATTTCACAGTGGAGAAACTAGCTCACATCGGATCTGAAACTCAGGGTGCGTGTGGTATAGTTTGGGAGAAAATTTTGCTGAGAGAGAAGAGTAGTTTGGTTGCAAAATGATGGAAGTCCGCCAAGGGGAATGGCCTTGTGGCTGACCAAGGAAGGCACACCGTTATTTCTAATAAGCGTGTCCATGCGCCATTTTTTATAGTGCATGTCAGCAGCATTGGAGGAGCTGACCCCCCACGCCATCCCTCTTCCAACTCTACTCACACACACTTCCAAACACACACGCATGCACGCGCATGCACACACACATACAGTGAGAGAGGGAAAGAAAGAGAGAGGTATAGAGAGAGACTAACGCTTCACTGAACACAGGCTTTTAGAATAAACAATGGTCGTCTATCTGTAAACAAGCGTTAAGAAATGACACAATGACCAAAACGGCGACATCTCAGTAGTCAAGCGTGACACGCGCGTCGTGACGTAGACAGCGTGACCGTCGTCGTCGACACTCCCATCACTTATCCTACTGATAATTACCACTTGTCTATATTATTAATATTTCACATGGAAAGCGGTCAAGCGGGAAATGAAATGGAGTATTGGCCCCGCGTGTATTAAAAGCTCTGCTATCGCTTTTCTAATATGCATTTGTAGCCTTAAATTAACCATGTTTGTTGTTTAAATCAGTCGAAGATACTAGCCACGGGAATATTTATCTTTGTTTGAAACCGACTCGTGTGTTAATTCCACACGGTTCACTTCTCATAATGTCCATATTATCATTCTCTGATAGCTAATTAGCAGGCTCTAGAAAATATAGCCTTAAGGCGTACAGTGGCCATTTGACCTCTAATTAAAAGGCTCTCGTCAGAATGAATGTGTTATCTGTTAAAGAAAATTACTGGTACCAATGTGTTCTATGCAAGAGGAAGAACGTGATGGGGTTAATAAATATATACATGTATGACCCAGAGATGCAGAATCCTTGCCTACTGTAAAAATTTAAATATGAGGTTTTCAGAAAAGTATCTCTTTACGTGAGCCTGTACGTAAAAAGAAACGATGTAACTCTCTCTCTCTCTCTCTCTTTCTGCTTGTGGACTTATCACACCTTTATTTCTAGATTGACTGTATTTAACGATGTTTTCTAATGAAACAATGACAAATTTGGCACAGCAACAATTTCCATCATGAAGAAAAAGTGACCACGAGTGACTATCACTCAAAGGACTTCAAGTTTTATGACGAAACCAATAAGAGTCTTTCCGAAAAATAATATTAACACTTACCGCCTTCTTGTGCTAAAGTCATTTCATCTAACAGCAGCAATCCCCATGCTATCAGAAACAAAGCGTCCATCCGAACGCGTAAATCCATCGTTTGTGTTAAACGCAGAGTTCTGTATCTGTTAACCTCGAGTGCCTCAGTAAATCTATTTCTCCTCGAAGGCCTCGGAAAATCTGTTTCTCCTTCTCGCGATGATGACTTGTACAAGTATGGTCTTTGCTAAGTGGTTTTAACATCCTTAATATGCCCGTGTGCTATCAGAGCCGCATCTCTGAGGCTTCGTGTTGTAAATTACACGGTGAGTCAAATCTTCAGCTATCGAGGCTTTCGTGTCCACTGAATATATATTAACGAGATGGAACGGACCGGGTAGCCTCTTAAACAAAGCTTAGCCGCCTTTATCTGTCCATCGGCCAGGTGGGTGGATGGGTGTCAAGGTGGGTGGAAGGGTGGGTGAGAGCGTGTTTGAAAGTGATCAGACGAGAATGGAAAGGGGAAGGAAGATGGAGCACAATACAGTGTTAATGTCCAACTAAATATAACCGATGACGTGATAAGACAGATGCGACACTCGATCGCTTTAACAGGCCTATGGTTTCGCATAGGACTTTCTCTCGTCCTCTCTATGTTTTAATCATTTCTCATTATTCTCTAGGTAAAATAACTGGTCGTTTAAAATGCCAGTCATTCATTACTCTTTTTTTTATAAAGCAGTCCATCATTGATTTAATTTCGATTAAATATTGAGGATTGTGAAATAACCAACCGTAAAAAAATTTATAATCTAATCTAGCTGACGCAATTCTAAACCTCGATGCTTTAAAAAAAGCCCCTGGGTTTTGAGCTAGGAGTTGTACTGATACTTATGTATGCCATACAACTCCTTGGTTTTGAGAGAGCTTTGGAATTCCTTTACTGTACTATTTTTACATAACAACTAGCTAGAATTCGTTTATCTATCTTAGACACTGGTTGCAAATACATCGTCTTCAAAACAATTTAAATCATTGGGTATAAAAATAAGTAACAAGGTGTGCTATTTTGTTCGAAGCGTTTCTTTATTATTATCCAACTTCTTATCACGATTTTCAAGTATCTCCTCCCCCTCCCCCCTGTGCATTTGCATTTTTACATTGGTTTGTATTGCCAATGGTTTGAAAGGTGGCGATGGAGAGTGATTTTAGGATTCTGCAACAAATTGTCCTTCGTACATGTGTTTACACATTCCACTATTACATGTAGCTGACATTTATTAAAACTGAAAATCTGAGTGCATCCCGCAACAGCCGTGCAAGAGAGCATCAAAAGCAGTTTCTGAACGGTAGCCCTAATTGTTTGAAAGATTTTGATAAATAGATTATTACCCTTTTTATCAAAGTTATATCAAACCTGACGTTTTAGTTGATTGTGTTACAGCCCCGACAGGTTCTTGATTACATAAGGAATGCCGGCGCCACCGAGATTATATCAAATGCCGCGGGATATGATCTTCCAGATTTGTATTTGTATTAGACCCCTTCCCATACCTAGATCGATCTAGTAGGCTCGACCCATCTCCGAGGGGATTCCCGCTTAACTACATTCAGATTAAGCGGCTTAGCGACACGCCCACTGAAGCTGCTAAAAGATAGTTCATTGTAACAGCTTCAGTAGGCGTGTCAAACATCGAGCCGCTAATAAAGCTGAACGTAATTTAGCGGGAAACCTCTCGGAGATGGGTCGATCCTGCTAGATCGATCTTGGTTACTGATAACTAAAACTGAAAGAAAACAAGTCTGAAACGTTTGTCAGGCATAACTGATTTATTTTTATTTACTTCTGCGTGATTCAAAGCAATAGAAAGAGATACATGATTTAATTGGATGTAATAGGATCGAAGTTTGACTTCATCAAGATACAAATAACTTATTATAAGTTAGTTATAATAAACAGATCACTGAAATTATTCTTAACATACATAACAGTATAAAACATAATTCAAATTAAATTTGTAATATAAAATTATAGTTCATTATGAGAAATGTACTGAACTACACGTCAGTGTATTTATCAGGATTAAAGTAAATACATATTTCAAAAGAGGCAGTAAAGCATGCAGATGTACATTAATGCTGCTTTTCTCAAAATTTTATTACTGCCCATTCCAACATGTCTTCCTGAACTCCCTATTCCATCAGTAATATATACAAGTGCTGGAGATCAAGCACATGCATTTCCCCTCTATGGCTAATATAATTATCTTTGGCTATAAGGAAAATGAAACCATCTCAGTTATTTCTACTTATTGTTATTCAGTGATATGGCTCATAAACAAATTGCTTTGGATGAAATTACTTAAAATGATTTGGTACAAAAAAAATAATAGTGGGTTCTTAGTCATTTGTTTAGAGCAATGTATTCACAATTTTCCATGGTTTTAATTTGAGGGCTATTCCTTTCAACAGTAATCTTTACCATAGCATTTTTCTCTTTAGTCTCAGAAAAAGACAACCTATCACATATCATTATCAAAAACAATCACCATGCACTTTCATTATAACAAAACAATAAATCATTCAAACATATCAAAACATGCAGGACACAACAATACACAAGCATACTTAACACTGAACAATGACTCTTCTTTGTTCGACTTTTGACATGGACGCCTTCTTTCCAAAATATTATAAACATAGTCATACACACAAAAATGTACAGAAGTACGTAAGAGTCATATTGTGCTCTAAGTACCAAACTTGAATACGACCCATTTTTTTTACTCAAAATGGACATAAGCACCTTCTTAATGCCAACACAACTGTTAATTAAGTGTATTTATACCTTTTATGTACATGTTAAGGACCAAGCATAATAATCATTACAATCACATCACATCAGTCCAATTAGACCATGCCTATATGGGATCCAAACATGACAGATGGGTTTGCCTACAAATTTAACGAACAAAAATAATGATTATGATGTAGTAACCCATTGGTGATGAGAACTGCTTACTTTGGAACAAAATCTTATGAAATGGCAATGTTTGGCTCTCAGAAGCACTATCGGGCGTGATACCCACAGGTGGTCGAGTCTTGGATGCACTGCTGGTGATTCTTGGTTTCTATACTTGGGCTTGGAACCATGAGTTATTGTATAGAAAATGATTATGATGTTATATCACTCCTACTAGTACATGTCAATGTGCGTGAGAAAGCAAACTGTTACAGAATAACCTACTTTTTTGTGTGAAACCAGACGTGAGATAAATTTGTTTATCCATACTTTCCAGGTAAGTTGATAATATGTCTGTACAATAATGTATATATCACAATTCTAAACATTGGTTTAAAAAAAGAGATTTGAACTTTTTTCAGACTGATAGTTTTACAATTTTTTAAATCAACAAAAGGTATTTTAAAATTTCCTTAAAAATGAAAATGCATTACCTTTAAAATGCTTAAAATCAATTCAAATCCATCCTACAATTCAATTAAAATCCATCTTTTATAATGTTATTCTACATTCACATAACCTTGCTGTGATAGAAAAAAGAATAACTATCACAATTTGAATTTTTTTCAAATTAAAGATATGTTGGCATAAGTACCATATTTTCTCACTAAATCATCAAGACATATACATCTCTGACTCCGATCACAGTTTTAAAGTGCACTGCACTATTCTCAAGTTAAAACACAAACTAAAGTGCCCTGGCTTCATGCCAAAATAGTCTAGAACAAAAAACCAATTCCTCAGATGTTTTATCATTTGATCATCCAGTGAAATAAGTACATACCTCAGGATTAAATGAAAAATAGAAAATCGTCTGAGATAGCCCAAAACGAGGCTATGGGCACTGCACAATGTCATACGAGACTAGAAATCTTGGGAAAATCTGCATGAAGTTAGGTTAAGTTTACAAGCAAGAAGAATGAAACTCTATGCACCACGAATGTTGCTATTATAGAAACCATTACAAAAATGACATGCAAATTATGGTGAAATAAACTGTTATTCAACAAAACTTAAAAGCTAAAAACCAGAAAAATATCTGCAGATAAATCTGCCAACTCTTATTCATTGCAGCATCACACTCCCAAAGCCCATGAAATCTTTCTCAATTCTATTCCAAGTTGTGGGACATCCACCCTGAGCTTCAGAGCTGACTTGACACTAACCTTTTCACTATAGCCTATCTCCATCGTGTCAAGTAACCTCTGACGAAAATAGTTTGACCTATTTTACATAAGCCAATCGAATCCATGTTTCAAAATTTTTCACCAAAGTTTGGTGAAAACGCTGATTGGTTGATCGTCAATCGGCAATCCTCGGCTGATTCCGCAAGCTCCATACTAACAACATAGTTATTGTTGAGTGCGGAGACATCCGAGTAGTTCCGAGTGGTTCCGAGTGCATAACCGTACACAAAGAAAGCATGGAGTATATCGGAATTGAAACCAGAGCAGTATGATGCCCTGCATCATTATCTACTGAGGGATGATGTATTTTGCGTGCTGCCCACAGGTTACGGCAAGTCCCTGATATTCAGCCTTATCTTTGATTGGTCCGGATTTGAACAAAGCGCGCTTTGACTCGTTCGCGTTCATTGGCTAGATCGTTCAATGAGTCATTGAGTGCGGGCTTTAAATTTGATTGGCGGGCGGCGGGGGCACTCGAATCTGGTCAGAGGTTACTTGACACGATGGAGATAGGCTACAGTGAAAAGGTTAGTGTCAAGT